TATTCAATCATAATCAACAAAGATAAAACAAAAAAAAGAAATGATGAAAATCTTTTCATAGTTGTTAAAAACAAAATCAAGTGATTGGGCCCAGAAATGAGATTCATTTTCAACCATTGAAAGTTTCCTATTGTCGTGTTACAATCTTTTTTTTCCTCTCGTCCATTCATATATTAGAGTTTTTTTTTTGTTTTTCATTATGCAAAATGTGCAATTCAATTCAATCTATTTTCAGTTGAAATTTTTTGGTTTTATTATGTAGGATCATCATCATCTTAAAATGGTTAGAATATATGAAATTTTTCATGATTTTGATGATGATGATTTTGTTGTTCATTTTGTTCACATCTTTTACTTCATTACACTTGGCTGATTATGATGATGATCATTTTATGGTGTGATCATTAACCAGAAAGTATGGTCATCATGTTTTTTTATCCGAGAAAAAATTATTGATTCTCCATTATGATTATTTTCAACTACAAATAAAGACAGCATGTAAATCGATAATTTGGCCTTTAACCAAAAAAAAAATGAATAAATAAAAATTACTGGTCAATTGGAAATGGAAATTTCTTTTCAATGTTTTTTTTTTATTTTATCATTATTAATAATCAAATTATATTTTTATCCAAACTATAATAAATAAATTTTATGATCAACATCTTATTTCAGTTGTTTCGTTCAAATATAATTTATGAATCGAAAAGATTTTCGGAAAATAATTCCGATAAAACGACTATTTGATTACCCAAAAATTGTTGCCATTTTATTTATTGATGCTTCTTTTTCGTTTTCATTTTTTCAATGATCATTATTATTATTTTCTCTTACTAGCTATCCAATGTTCTTGAAAATCATAATCATAAATCCAAAAAAAATAAAACAACTTAAACTCTACACGTTCAGGAAACCGAACGAACACAAATACTTGACATTCGATGATTAATTATTGTTTTTTTTCCGGTTGATAACATTCCAACAGAATCCGTATATTCTGGACTCATATGGCTACACACGCAAACTTTTTTTCGGTAAAAACAACAACAAAACAAAAAACTAAACACACTTAAAACAATGATAATCATAGCCATATAATTAATCATTAAAATAAATCCCAATGAAAACATTATACTTATTAGATATTATCATTTGACATTACTTTTCCATTTTCCATTTTCTCTATGTACATTTTAACTTGGTTTTCATTTTTTTTACTGACAAAATCTTTAAATTAAGATATTCTATTTATATAATGTGTAGAGAAAAATGATTCAAACATTAATTATTGAAAAAAGAGAAGATTCTATGCTTTTATTATCATTAAATATCAATGCAATGATGATGATGATGATGATGGTAATAAATATGATGGCCCTAAAGGGATATTTAATTTAGCTGTGTTCATTTCAACGAATGAATATGAATGATTTTTTTCCATATATTCGTTTCATTCGATTATCAATCATTGAATGATGACACAATTAATTTCTCTTAATTCGATTAGGCCAGTGATGATTTTTTCATTCATTTTGGTTTGAAATAAAATATTAATTATAATTGATCGTAAAAAGATGATTATTTTTTTTGTTCTTCCTTTTGAATTCAATGAAATCCATTTCCAATCTGATTGAACATTTCGTTCATTGTAATGATAATTTCATTGTTTTAATGTTTTCTTTCAATTCGATTCGTTTTTTTGTTCAATTACCCCCTCTGCATACTTTTAAATTTTGAAAAATGGAAATTTTCTTTTTCAAAAAAATGAGTGAAAAAATCAGTAACGATCAATATTAATGGGAAATTCAACGAAAAAAAACGTGTCAAACTGATATGACAAAAGAATTTTTCTTTTTTTTGCACTATTTCTTAGATCGTGGATCTGCATGGACAGATTCTTTAAAATCGTTATGATATGATTGTTCATGCATTAGGCTTTTGTTTCGTTGAAACGTTCGGTGTGTGTGTGTGTGTGTGCATCAATAAGCTGAATGTCATTACTATATTCTTCCTGATAAATGATAACGATAAAAAACTAGAAATTAGAATATTCAATGAATCAAAAGATTTTCCTATGTTTTGCACATGAAACAGCAGAATATGTAGTGTAATCGTTTTTCTTTGGTTTTTTATTCTCACTAAAAAATATGCTGTTCGTTGCGTTACAGGATGCATAAAAGAAACATTATTCTGTATTCCTAAGAATATTCGTCGATCAAGAAATACAGAATAATTTGATTTATGATTATAAATGAATGAATAATAACAACAACGATTTATAAATTTGATCATCGTTGCCCGTTCGATTTATAATTTTAAAGATTTATTCCAACATTGGTAAATAAAACCATACACCCGAACATTTTTTTGTGTTTTATTTTTTGCAATTTTTTGTTATTGGAAAAAATCATCATTTCAACATTGATATCAACGATTTATGATTATTATTGTTTTCGAAAATATTTTCCAAAAAGGGTTAGGCATTACTTATTAATACATCACATACATTCGATCATTCATTCACTCACTCACTCACATACAACACACCTACATAAACGAAAATAAAAGATATAAAAAAAACAATCATAAAGATCAGATCAAAATGATCAGATTAGATAATAATCATCATCGAATTTTTCTTTCACATTCATATGTAAATCATTATTTATATGCACAAAACTTTCTTTCTTTCATTCACCTTTTTGTACATTTCAATCATTGTGAAAAATATTTATCGATTTTTTTTCTGTCTTATAAAACAAAAAGCAACTAAACAAAACCAAAAACCAATATCATCAAACATGGTAGATCATTATTATGCTGATGATAATGATGATGATGACCACACACATGAATAAATAAATCAAACAAACAAACAAAAAAAACATTATTCAATATAAATAGAGAAATAATCGGATAGAAAAAAAAGACAAATAAATCAAGAAAAGAAATGATCGTCTATTGATTGGATAATGAAAAAAAATAAGAGTGAGAGAAAGATTCATTTCATCTTTGAAATGATATAGTGAAAAAAAAGGTGCAAAAACCATACATTATCTTCATGCATACTTATTGCATACTGTTGTTGTTGTTATTTGTAGTTGGAATTTCAAAATCTTCAACAATATGTGCTTCATGGTAAGATCTGATTTCCTTATGATGATCACCTACATCATACATCCTCAACAACATGCATCAATTGTGAAAAGTTAGCTAAAAATATCCAAATCAAAATATCAAAAAAAAAAAATTTCTTTTCTTTTCTTTCTAAAAAATAAAATATATACCGATATGCATCATAAACAATCACAATGTCTGTATCTGCCATTGTTGTTATTGTTCCTGGAATAATTCCAATGATGACCATTTTTTTTAAATATTTAAATTTGGATCGATGCTTCTTTTTTTTGAAAAAAAAATTTATTTATTTATTGTTGATCGATACAACAATCCACAAATATGGTCATCACCGGATGATAATCATGATGAACCATTCAATTTAGAATGTATTTTTTTTCTTAGAAATTTCTTTGAAAATTCAATTTCTTCTTTCGAAACTCGTTATATCCTGGTGGTTTTCTTCGTTTTTTTAATGTTTGGGTTTAATTTTTTACTTCAAAAAAAATATTCAATTTTTCTTTTTCTTTTGGTCACTTTGATTTGATTTTCTTATTATTATTATTATTTTGTCGATGATGAATAATACTTGGCAAGGGAGTAGAACAATTTTGGTCTGTCTTCACAATGGATTCACATCACTTATCGATTGTTGATCAATTTTTTTTGTCCTGTTTGTTAGAATTTTTTTGGGTTTAAAATAAGGAAAAAATAACTCTTTCTTTTTTGATGTCTTTTGATCGCCCGAACAAAAATGGCCATCATAATCAAACATAGCCACCAACACTCAATACTACTACTACCATCAACAAAACAAAAAACCAAAAAAAAAAAACAATCTAGATCAAATCTTGGACATGGATACATGATTGAATAATGATCATCGTTGATTTTATAATAATGATGGTGATGCTGATGAACCTAAACTAAACTAAAAAAAACAAGACATCCACCCACTGGATGCATGCATGCATGATTATATTGATGTTGGTCGCTTTTTTCCACCAAGAAAAAAGCAGCAACAAGTTTTTTTCTGTTGTTGCTATTTATTCGATTAACATTATCTGTAGTTGATGATGATGCCATTATAATTCTCTCTGTCTCACTCTTTTTATATTATTTAATGCAGAAATAAAATATAAAGAAAATTCAGTTTGACCAAATACCCGACACACACACATAGTGAAAGTGAATATTACAAACGATAAAAAAAGAGAAGCAAAAAAACAAAATATAACCAATTTTGTTCAGATTTGACAGATTGAATGTATTTGGACATCCAGAAACTATACTAGGATGCTAACAATAAGTTGCGGACAAATACAAATGAAAAGTGAGAGCAAATTATTTTTTTTATCCGTTAATGTTTGAGCAAAATATTGTGAGAACAAACGAATTGAATGTGAAGAGAAAAAAATTTAAGTAAATTTGAAGAATTTCTTCTCGTTTTAGTTTTTTTAGCCAAAATGAAAATTTTCTTGTCGTCAATGATGATGATCGGTATAAAAAAGTGAATTACATTATCACTTTTTTTTCCATTCTATCGGTACCAATCATTCGGAAATGTTTGTTTCATTATTCAATATATTTTGTTTTTCCTATTCGTTCATTGAAAATTGACCACCAGAGTTAGATTGTGTTTAATTGTAATGTTATTCGGATTATATCCACCAATTTAAATTGTGATTTCATTCTATAATCAAACACACACACAAAACCAACGGATATATTTAATATCTATGCTTATGATGTGATTTATCAACAAAATTTCCGTCTTTTTTTTGCCAAATATTGCTTCGTTTTTTGTTTGTAATATATTTTGTTTGGTTGTTATTAGTATCGTTTTTTGAAATTATAAATTTAATATTAATTGCATAATTTGAATCAATTAACAAAATGAATCTATTTGGCAAATTATGTCATATCATTATGGCTCATAATTATAAACAAAATATATTTTCATTGATCATCATTCTAATAATATTCACTTGTTTTCCAATCATTATCAATTGTGATGAAGATAATTCTGAAGATGAAACAAATCATCATTCACCATCATCATCATCATCATTATCATCTTCATCATCACCATCAGAATCTGATGATCGTTCCAGCTATGGTGAACGTTTAGCTGAAAGTTCGTATACATTTTCATCGGCATCATTTGCACGTGAACCAAAAGAAGAAACAAATATCTATTCAGCCGGTATAAATGCCATATTAAATAGTGATGGTTTTTTAAATCAAATGGAAAAATACGGTGGTAGCCAATCAAAATATCGACCACAAGGACCAGTAGAAATGGCCGTACATAGTAAAAAAACTATCGAAGTAATACCGGTAAAATTTGAAGATGGTAATGATGGCGAACCACAAGTGATTGAAATATCACCATATGAAGTACCTGTTTCGATTGTATTTAAAACACAGACAAATAAATTGAATGTTAATCAGGAACATAAATCAGGTTGGTTGATTTTTTTTTCATTTATTTTTGTTGTTGTTTTTGTTTGACAGAAGTTTTTTAAAAAAATCCCATAACGAAAATAATCAAAAAAATTCATTCAAATTTGATTGCTTTTTCCTTCTTTTTCGTTCCTACCGGTTCTTTAATTAATTAATTATTTTATTCATTTTTAAGTGAAAATGAAAACGAAAGGATTGAATTGAAATTTACGTTTGTCACCAATGCTATTAATCAATTTTCATTGATGATTACAATTTTTTTCCATGAACTTTTTTCACTTTTTTTTTCTTTAACACAAAATTAAACAATCCAGAACAGAGACAAACGAATTGAAAAAAAAATCGTGAATCTAATTAACCCGAATTTGAACCGGGTGGAGATTGAGTGAATTTTTTTTCTGTTGAAAGATTTATAATCACAAAGGATGTGATAATTAAGATGATGCAAGTTTTTTTTCTTTGTTTGCCATAAAAATAAAATGATTTTGCACAATGCTTTTGTTGGATTATTTCTTTAAAATTTTATTTATTTTGCTTCGAACAATGACAACAACATTTTCATTATTTTAATCATCAATGATAGATTATGATCAATCAATTAATCAGAATCGATATTCATGAAAACAAAATCAAATTAAACTGATTTGGTTTATCTGGTTTTCATTCTGTTCATCTTAAATGTTTGATTTAGTGAATAAGATTTGAAAAAAGGGTTAAAATGTCAAAAAAATATATTGTCCTGTCATTTAATCGTATTGTGTGTGTGTGTTGACAGACAATAAGATGTTGATAAGGATTTCTGTTTCTATTTTTCTTTCACAAAACGTTAACATTACAAAATTTTGAATGATTTTCGTGAAAAAAGAAACTTCTTTGCTGAATTTTTATTTATATATATAAACCAATGAAATGTGATTCAAGATTCGATTCATAAATGTTTGAATACTAAAATTTGATATGAGAATTACAGAAAAAAAGTGAAAATTTATGATTATTATTATTTTTGTTTCATAATCATGATGAACAATATTTTTGGTTTTTTCATTCTTAATTCAAAATGTTTGAATAGAAATTATTTCATTCACGTTTGTCTTTTTTTAGTATTTTTTTTCTTATCACAATCAACCTGATGATTATTATAACAGGTGTTGAATTTTTGATTTTAATCTTGATGATGATGATGATGATGATAATACGAGCTTACGTTTTGATTTTAATAAAATATGATGATTTAAAATCAAAAAATATGAGGATCAAAAAGATATATTTTTGAATGAAATGAATTTCAGTGTATTTTTTTTGAAGCAAACAAACTGAATATTATAAAATTGTCATTATTTTGATTTTGTTCGTATCGGTTAGTATCAAATTCCTTTCACTTTCATCAAATAATGCATCATTACATGCAAATCATAATCATAACATTGATGTCCATTTCATTTTCAATGATAATCAATCTTCATCATCAACAATTAATGGTAACAAAAAAAAAATCAAATTGTTATTGATAATGATCATTTGTTTTATCTTTACCATCAACGAGATAATGCTCCTTCAAATATTAAAAAAAACAATTAACATTAATTTGAATGACTTTTTTTTGTTGTTATGCTTTCTGGTTTGTTGTTTTTCTGAGATTTTTTTTTTGAATTTTTACTTTTGGACATTATTTTTTTCCCTATTAACTAATGGCATTTGAACTGGAAATGAAATGATTTTGTTTGTTTGTTTGTTTGTTTGTTTGTTCGTTGTTGTTGTTGTATACTTCCAACTGATTTTTTCTCCGTTTCTTTGTTGTTATTTTATTCTAATTATTATTATCATCATTATCATAGTTATGATTTTCATGTCATAATCATCTTCATTAGTAAATTAAATAAGTGAATCCATGAATGAAAAGAATTGGTGAATATGAACAACAACAAAAAAAAAACAAACAAACAAATGAAATGATGATTCAAGCTGGGAAACCAAAAAGAACAAAAAACAATAGGAACCATAAACAAACAAATGAAAAACAAAAAAAAATCACTTTCGAAAATTTGTAATTTATGATTTTGATGATTATGACATCTTTTTTTTCCATTTCGAGGAATTGAATTGAATCATTTGAGCGTGTGTGAAGAATTGTTTCGTTTCTTTCCGGAGATTTTTCCATAGAATTTCTTCAAAAAAATTGTTGTTGGTGATTAATTAGCCAGACATTTTATTATTTTGTGATTTAAAAGTTCCGGAATTGATAAACTTGGATAAAATTTTTGTTCCATTTTGTTCACTATCACTATTTTTTTTCGATTTGAATATTTAATCATTATGATGATGAAAGTGTTTGTTTGTTGTTATTGTTTTTTTTTGGTTTGTAATCTATGTCCAATGATGATGATCAATCATAATCGTTGAAGAATGAGATTAGATTAGAGTTTATTTTTAGAAGAAAAAAAACGATGATGTTAAATACAAAAAAAAAAGAAAGTTTATCTCGATCGATCTTCACAGTCTGATTTGAATTAGAAATAGGTAACAAAAAAACAATTAGTTCCGAATTATAGACCCAAATTTTGTTGTTGCATTAGAAAAAAAATGTTTGTAACATTTTTCTACACATCAAAGGTAGAATCATATCATCATCATCCAAATAGGAAATTTTAATCAGCCACCCCGTTGTTATTGTTTGTTAACTATGTTTCGTTTTTTCTTCTACTTCTTAGATCAATAGAAATCCATCATAATGATAAATTTTTATATTTTCGTTGAAAAAAAAGACGATGATAATCAGATTGTCCATTGATTAGACAACACAACCATAGAACAACTACAATTTTCATTCAATCATTAATGTTTTTTTTTTGTTCATTTGTTGAAACATTTTTTTTTGTCGGTTAGTTTCGGATAACCAATATACCATCCATGAAACAACAACAACAATAATAATATAAGGAACAAGGAACATAGATTACTGACAAATGATGATGATGAGAAAAAATGAGATGAACATTTTGACTTGAAAAAACATAAAAAAAAAATTCGAAGAAAAATTCATTTTCATCTTTACGGAAATGTATCATATTTTAAGCTCCTTTTTTTTATGTAACAACAACAATAATAATAATTAATCTTGTTCAGTCATTCGATTCATTTTTTATTATTTCATTACAAATTTATGATTATTGTATTCGAAAATTATCCGTTTAGTTTTGGATGTTCCATAGTAGTAATATCGATGAAAAAAAAATGAAAGTGGGAGTATTGAAAACGGAACATGACAAATTGAAAAATAACTTTTAGTTAAATTAATCTAGTTTTGAATGAATGAATATTTGATAATTGAATTTGTATGTAAATTAGTTTTTTTTTTGAAAAGAATGCTTTTTTCATTAGTTTTCTGATGCATGTTTCTTTTTATCATCATCATTTAATTACATCCAATTCGACTATTGAATATCGTTAATCAATGTATGTTAATTTACATTTACGATCGATTGATTGATTGATTGATTGATCATGATATCGAATGTTGTTGTTATTGTTGTTGTTGCTATTCATTGTAATCATCATGATAATGGTTATCCGTATCATTTTATTATAATAATAATAAAAAAACCGGAAAAAGTTTCTTTCATTTTGAAGATGAAAAAAAATACCGAAAAAAGTTTTTATTCATTCATTTTGAAATGTTTGTAAAATCCTACTATCCAATGGTCATCATCTTGACCAATTCGTTTTTCATTTTATTTATTATCTTATCCTTTTTTGAAGTTTATGTACCGTTTTTTTTGTTGTTCAAATGCTGCTCCCATTTTAATTGGCTAAACATTAACAACCAAAAACAACAACAACAACGGATAAAGAAAAAATTATTATGTTTGTTATAATGATGAACACAATACATTTATATAGAAAAATAGATGGCGTGATGAAATAATGAAAACATCATTAAAGCTGCTAAATGATGATGATGATGATATAAAACTATTTGCGAGAAAAGGTTTGGATAAAAATGATTTTATAATTAGACGATAATAAACATACTTACACACACACACACCAAGGATTGAATCATTATTATTTTAGCAACAAACAAGAGTTTTCAAAAAAAATAAAATCAGATAATAATGATGCTTGAAACGGTATCACGAGCAGTTAATAAAATTTTTTGTTTTCACTGCTATATATACTTTCAACGTATAACAATGATTTTTTTGTTTGCTGGAACAATTACATTTTACATTAGGTTATGAAATGAATTTCTTCAAATTTTTTTTCTTCTTGAATATCCATGGGCAAAATAACAAAAAAATGAAATGGAAATTTAAAATTTTTTCAACAAACAAAAAAAGTGAAATTCACAAGTCAACGCTTGTATAGGTAGCGTAGATGTTGTTGTTTCCGTTTTCTATTTATTTCGTTTCAAACACACATTTATCATCATCATCATCATTTTTTGATTTTTCTTACTTCTCCCATTACTTATTTCCTTACTTTTACTTTTATTTATGTAATAAATATTCGCAAAAAAATAAAACATAAATTTTTATTTCAACCAAAAACAAAAATGATCGTGTTCAACACGAATTACCATAATAATGGCGTCCGATCCTTCAAACAAACAGAAAATTTAAATTTTTTTGTTTTTGTTTTTGTTAAAAGATTTTAAAATTCATTATGGTATTGATAATTATGAAATTACTCATTTTATTTCATTTTTTGTTTGTTTGTTTTCCAGAACCTGCTGAAGAACCCAAAGAAATAAATTCAGAAGAAGAACCACATCGTGTTATACATAATGTATATCGTCCTGTTATACAAGAAGTAACCGAAGTTGTACAACCATTCCGTAAAGTTGTACAAAAAGTTGAACCAGTTATTGAAGAAATGAAAACAATCATTTCAAAAGCTGCACCACAAGATGGTTCACATGTACAAAATCATCATCAATTTCAACAGCAACGTCAACATCAGCAACAACAATTTCGTACATCAGGTCAGTTTGGATTTGGTGAAAATTCAAAAATGAATCGATTTTCAGGTATAATTTTCGAATAAGTTGATTTCGAAATTTTTCTTTTAAACAAAATTTTCTTCTTATCATAGAATATCAACCATTAGCATATGGATCAGAAATGGTGGGTAAAGTTGAACCACCACCTACACCGAATTCATCTTCATTATTTTCATTATCATCATCATCATCATCACCATCACGATCGATGAATCATGAAACTAAATCTATTTTACATCGATTTGGATCCGAAAGCAATAATGGTAACATTGAAATTTTACAATTTTTCATTTCATTGAAATGAAATTCAATTATTAATTTTGACTTTTTTCTTTTTCCTCAGATATGGCCGTATCCAATTCATCATCATCAAATAATAGTTCGATCAAACCGGTATTGGAACCGACTGAATTTAATGATAAAGAAGCTAATTTACATTATAATGATATTATTAAACAATATATTGATAATCTTTTATCAAAACAACAACAAAAAGCGGCAACATCTTCAACAAAATCATCATCAATCAATCCAAATAGTATCAAAATGATAAATATTCCAATGAAAAGTATATCAACAAAATCAACTAATGAAATTGATAACAATAGTAAAGAAAATAATAACAATAACAATATTAATAATGGAAAAAAATTTAAAATTATCAAAGAATTTCGTATCTCATTGAATGATTTGAAAAAACAATTGGGTAACAAAATACCAGCCACAAATACCGCAACAAAAATGGTAACAAATCCTTCAACTGGTGTAATGATGATGAGACCATACGGATCATTTTCGGTTTCCGGTCCAATTGTTGGTCCATCTAATCGATTATCAACAGATGTTGCGGGTAAAATAAAAATGATACGTCCAAGTACATTTTTACAGCAACAACCATCAACACAATCTGCACGTATTATCAAAACTGATGGTACTATTGGAAAATTGAACGAATTTAAACGTCAATCACGTTCAGCTCATGGCGTTGTAAATAATATCAATAATAATGCCAATCCATTACGTACATATCATTATATGAACTTCAAACGATTCGGTGATTTGGCACCAACTTTAAGTGATTATCGTCCAATAAAAAATTATGTCCACGATAATAATCAGTTTGATCAACATTATTATCATCCATATCGAAATCAATATTATCATCATAAACATCATGATGATCAACAAATTCATCGTCGTATGATGAATGAACCATCATCATCATCATCCGACGAACATATTAATCTTTATAGCCAAAATAATTTCCGTTTTGCACGTCGTTATCGTAATTGAAAATAATATGATAATTTTATTTTATTTTTTTCTTCATTATTTGGTTTTACTTAAAAATTTCTTCATATATTTCATATCTCTATATAGAAACTCAATCAAATCAAATCAAACAGACAAACAAACACGATCATTTCATTAATACTTTTTTTAAAAAAATCATCATAGAATCTCAGAATTTTTTTTTTGTACAAAAGAAAACAAATGAAATAAAATTAATAAAAAAAAATCTCAGTTTACACACCCCCACCTGCGCATACATACTTTACATTCGAAATCGAAAATACGCACACTCATTTCGAACAACAAGAACCGTTTTTTTTTGTATATAATTTCTTTTCGAACGAATATTCTTATTTTTTCTTCATTTTTATTTTTACATCATCATTATTTCTTCAAAGCATATATAAAAGAATTCATTTTTTTCAAATTTTGTTTCTGATATTTTTTTCTACATCCTTATTTCTCTCTTTCTCCATCTTTCTTATTCTTTTTTCTGTTTTTCAACAAGAATAATAAAGAATTACACATTTCCTTTTTCTTTTACATTCATTCTTTGTTGTTTTCAATTTGTTGTTATTTTGAACATTCGAAAAGCGAGTGATAGGATATATAATATGCTACGGTATATTTTAGATGTGATCAAACAACAAGGAAAACATTATTTATTATACTTATTTATGTGATTATATTGTAGAATTGAATGTAAATAATTTATTCTAAAATAGAATGTTCAAATTAGAAACTAATGGTTGTTGTTGTTGTTAAAAGGGTTTGAAAATTCTAATCGCTTTGTTTATGATTAATTTGAATGCTATTATCATCGAATAGATTATTATTTAGCCAAACTTGAATAAATAAATAATCGAAAAAACATACATCAATAAATTATTGAATGATAAGATTGAAAAGTTTTCCAATTCAAAATGGCCTATGGAATTAGAATTTAATGTTGTAGATAATCTTATTTTCATGAGAAAAAGGGATTTTTTTTCATTCATTAATCATCAATTCATTTGAAAAAAGAAAATTTTATTTTTTGTTTTTGTTTCGTTATCGTCTAAAGATTCATTTTAACAATATTATTTTTTATTCGGGTGATCATGTTTTATCTGTGCTAATCGATGCTGTTCATCCTCATGATAACGTGCTTTTGTATTCTTGACTGAATAAATATGTTCATAATCGGTAGGAGCAATTAATGCTGTTGGTGCATCCGATGGAATACGTTTTACTTTTTCAACAATATTTTTTGTTAATGAATCTCGTCGTGGTGGTTGATAAAGTTTAACCTGCTGTGGTGATTCTTTCGGATGTATACGCATTCGACTAATACTTTTCTGTTTTTGTCGATCCGCTGATTTTGTTTCACGTTTGGCGAATTTCTTTAAATCCAAACCATCTTCACCACCAGTAACAACATTTTCATTACCGGTCAATATTCGTTGTGGTTGTTGTTGTGGCAATTGTTGTGGCTGTTTTTTATCATCATTATTTTGGTTAGCATTTTCATTTCCAGGTGACACTACCGTATGCGATGGAAGTCCTTTGCGTTGTTCCAATTGATGAGTGAAAAATTTTTCAAATAATTCACATAAATGATTTAATGATTGATTTAATTTAGCTTGATTTTGTTCTCTGTTATCCATTGTTGTAACATGATTCAGTTTAGATGATTGTTGTGGCACTTGTTGCTGCTGCTGTTGAGGTTGTTGTTGTTGTTGCGGTTGTTGCTGTTGTGGCTGTTGTTGTTGCGATTGTTTTTCGGTAGTTGTATGCAAAATTTCCGGTTGAAGTTGTTGCTGTAACATAATCATTATCTGTTGCTGTGAAACAATCTGTTCCAAACGTTCTAGTCGCAAATTAATAAAATCAAATTGTTGTTGTATCATCGTTGAATCGTTGGATACCACATTAGGTGATGTCATTTGTGTTTGTGATAATGTCATTGGTGATGGTACTGTTGCCGGTTTCGACATCGGTGATGCTGGTCCCGACACTTGTTCTTGTTGATTATAAAAAGGATTAAATGGCATCTGTTTTTGATATGAATAATTATGATTTGTATCAACATCATCATTCATTACTTGATTTACCTGTGCTTGTTGATTTAGTTGTGGTTGTGATTGTTGTTTCGGTACAAATTTACGTACATAATTTTGATTGGGTTGATACATTTTTCCTATTCACAGGTAATAGTTATTTTTTTGCTTTCAATCACAAACATAAAATAAATAAATTGGATAAAATTCCAGATATGAAATACTCGATTGGTCGATATTGTTGTTGTTCAATTGATTAATTAATTAATTAATTAGTTTTTTAGATTCTAATTTAATATTTACAAAAATAATTATTTCGATTCGATTATTTTGATTTCAAATCAATATTCAATGTCTATTTCGGTCAACAATTTCAAATTATTCTCATCAACAATTTTGTCTTTTCCTTTTTTAAATCAAGTATCATAGTTGAATGATTTATTTAATTCAATTTCCTTGATGTGTTCAGTTTTTTTCCTAGAAATCCTGGTATATATTATTATGTTGAAGCCAAAAAAATGTACTTTTTTCAATTTTAAAGATGATGATGATGTAACGATTCACAAGAAAATAATAATAAAATACACTTAATACAAATAATTTTTTTTCCCTTTGATTGATTGATTGATCGATTTTGAGAATCTTACACAAGCATATTACCAAACACTTGATTGTATTAGGATAATAGTTGATAGTCAATCATCATCACCAAAAAAAAAAAAAAAAAAATTCTTTTAAAACAACACCTAAATAAAAAAAAACGATTATAAA